TTAATAGTGAGTAAATTGACACATTGAGTTATGTGTGATTTCCTCAATGGTTATATTTTATGAATAATCCACAAACATTTACTGACAGATATATTAAGAGAGTTATCATTTAATCTGTGGTTCACAATGGAAGCTGCAAAGGCCCCAAATCATTTACTATTTAGGGCTCCTGAAACCTTGGACAGCCTGCTGCGGCTCATTTCAGAGAGCAGAGTTAAAAAGCTATGGGATGCTGTGGTGGCGCAGGGGCAAAGCACAACCCACATATTGAGGCCTTGGTCCTTGTGGCGGTGGTCACAGGTTTGATTCCCAGCCTGGTGACATTTGCTGCATGTCTTCCCCCCTCTCATTACCCTATTTCCTGTTGAACTACTTTCAAATAAAGGCCACTAGACACAACAAAACCTTAAAAAAATGGAAAGAAAGCTCTGAGTATTACAGTGTTTCCTAACCCTGGTCCTTGAGGCAAACTGCCCTGCATGTTTTAGATATTTCTCTGCTTTGATATGCCTGATTCAGATGACTGCAGTTCAGCAAACACTTGTCAATTGAAATCACCTATGCTAAAGCAAAATAACACCTAAACCATGCAGGGCAGTGTGCCTTGAGGACCAGGGTTGGGAAACACGACCTGACTGTAATCCTGGAGGTTTTTGGTTTTAGGACATTAAATATCAATCAGGTAACTCGTTCTGAGTCAAGTTACCCCTGAGTTAAACATAGAAATATATTGAGGAAAATTTACCTCAATATTTTTCCATCAAACAAAAACTAATAACAAAAAAAATATTTGTGGTCAAAACCTTTGGAAATGTAATGAAATATTTTTTCACAAAAAAAATGAACAAAAAAACCCGTTTTGCCTAAAAAACATTTTTTTTATTCAGCTCACTAATTTTTTTTGTCATGAAGGAAAAAAGTTATTTGCATAACAAACTTTTATTTGTGCATGTCAGAAATCTTTGGTTATGATTCTCCAACGTTTGGTTTTGATTCTCCCTGTTTTGTTTGAACTCAGTTTTGATCGCTGAAAACAATGAGATCCTCGGCGGGTCCTAAGTATGAACGAGGTATATTCTGCTTCTAGCTAAGAATAATCTACTCCTGGTTTGAATAGTCTCTGTGTTGCAGTTTAACTGTAGAAGATAAAAGATGCTTAAGGTAGTGAAAAATTAGGTGGAATCGCCCTTTAGCCATTTTCCGAATCAGAAGCTGGAATCAAAAATAACTTCAGTTTCATCAGCTAGCCTGTCAAATTAAAATCCAAAATCAGTAATTGTCCCTGCTCTACATCAATATGCCNATTGTTACAAGATGTCAGGTTTATATGATGTAAAAAATGAGACCAAAATCATTTGAGAGCTTTTACCATCTTTAATTTGACATCAATCTTGTAGTTTAACTGATGCAAATTATTAATCAGTATTACTATAACTCTGTTATATAAGTTTCAACACCTCTAGTTTAACATTTTTCTGCACCACTTTTGATTAAATGTCAGGATTCAATTTTGGTTTCATATGTCATGATTAACTAACAGATTCACACTCTAAAAACTTTATATATCCCATAAGGTCAGTCCATCTGTAGCATTGATTAAAAGACCACAAAATAAAATTACAAAACTTTTCTTGGATTTCTTAATTATGCATTAATTTGGCATATAAATATTGTTATTAATATTCAACAAAGCTCTTTCAACAGTATTTTACAACAGAATAAATTGAAGGAAATAAATCAAAAGATAACCTGAGACATGGAGTATAAAATACAAGTTACAATAGAGACACAATCAGATTATGCTATATAGAGCCATAAGAGCAATAAAAAGATACAATTTCAGAGTTATGTGTTATCAATGATATCTGCTTGGAGAGACAAAGCTGTCTGAAGTGATTTGCTATAAAAAGAGACTAAACTTGGAATGCACAATAATAAAAAAATTCCCATTCTCAACTGTTGACATCTCAGATGTTTGTGACTTTACAGTTGAGTCATTTTAATATCTGCTCTTCATCGTGTAAAAAAAAGCCTATTCTAGCAGAGGTTCTTCCTCACCATCATTTTCAGCTATTGTTCTTTGTGCAGTGTAGAACTTGTTATCCCATATAAACTTAACATTCTCCAGTTCTTTTGTAAGAGTTTTGCTAACATCATTTGCAGCCTTTTTCCTGTTTACTGCTCTGTTTATAATTCTTTGTACTCCAACTTTTTCCTTTCTAAGCAAATTGCTCAAACTTTCAGCTTCAGCACAGTTGCCATAAACCCACCCCTGTGTGTCAGTTGTATCCAAGCCAAACATGTTGCTACAAGAACGGCAAGGAATTTTTACTTTTCCACTCCTGAGCTCAAAGGCTTGACACCTTACCCAATCAGGAAGTTTGATGGTTAAGTCAAAGTATGTCTTCACGGTTTTTTCAGGATAGTAGCTCATGACTGCATCAGCTACATCTTGCTCCCAGTACTTAAGGCAGGATGCAGCAACCATGATTTTTCCTGCAGAAGAACCAGTGGTGGACATGGAGACTCCATAGTGCCTCATTGAATGTTTGCTGTTCCCACTATAGACGGTGATGGTGGAATAAGTGTTTTTCCTTAGCTGACATTCAAGTTTCTGCAGGATTGTTTCAATTCTATCCTTATCCTTAATCTCTTGGCCTTTTAGACGAAATACCTGAGATGAAACAAGTGTAATTAAAATGATAACGGCAAAAAGTGAAATTATTACACCATAGTCCCTCACTGAATGTGTGCTGTTGCTGCCATGAGAGACGCAGATGGTGGAATACGATGTTTCATTAGTAGCATTTTTCTCCAGCTGATGTTTGAGTTCCTGTAGGGTTGTTTTAATTTCATCCTCATTTATTTGTCCTTTCAGATGAAATACCTGAGATGAAACAAGTGTAATTAAAATGATAACGGCAAAAAGTGAAATTATTACACCATAGTCCCTC